AAACTCGCTCGTAGTGCACCTCATTGCTAGTCAATTTGAAATTTATATCGCGATGGAACTCTTTACTTTACTTTTCACTATTTTAATAGCGAGCATCTGCTGATACCATTTTATTTTAAGTAAGATATCTGTTAAATTATCTTATTTTGAGCAACTAAAAGTTCCCCATTTGCGACCGATTCCATTATTGGGTAACATGGCTCCTTTTGCTTTTCGACGTATATCCTATACGTCGAACTCTTACAAAAATAAACTCTTACAAAAAATGTACAATCTCTTTCCGGACGCAAAATTCTTCGGCCTCTACGATTTTAACGCCAGTCATCGTTATTCGTGATCCAGACCTGATTTCCATGATCGCCATTAAATAATTCGATAATTTCTGCGATCATTCCGGCTTCACTAACAAAACTCTCGATCCGATTATTATTATTATTATTAGGCGTTAGGAACTCGAAAGCTCATTGCCGCAAATACCAAATCCCGCCACTGTTCCCGTCCCTGAGCAAGATCCCTCCATTTGTGACCCTCGTACCCCATTTCGTTAAGGTCCATTCTAATATTATCTTCCCATCTACGTCTTGGTCTACCCAATGGTCTTTTCCCATCCGGTTTATCAATTAGTATTTTATATGCAATTCTCGATCCGATAGCAAATAAAAATTTATTTGACCTGCTTGGAGATGACTGGCGCGAAATGCGGAAACTTCTTAGTCCCTGCTTCACATCTAGTAAGATAAAAATGATGTTTGGACTTATTTGTCAGTGTGTCGAAAACTTAGTCAATTTTGTAACAACGCAATCTGTAGAAGATGTCAAAACGTATGAAAGACTTACTTTTCAAATACACCAATAATACAGTAGCCACGTGTGCCTTCGGTATTGACCTGGATTCTTTTAAGCATTCGAACAATTAGTTCTTTTTACTTGGCAAAGAATCATTCAATTTTGATGGCTGGTTAGTCTTCATTTTTAATGCAAAGAAACTTCCCGCGACTTGCGAAATTCTTTAAACTGAGAATGTTTGGCCCAAAAGTAGAAAATTTTTTCAAAGATATTGTTGCCACCACAGTAAAGACTAGAGATGAGCAGGGAATTATCGCCCGGACGTAATTCAATTGATGATGGAGACAAGGAACAATGATAATGACGTGAATACGACATTAATGAAATGACAGCCCAAGCATTTGTTTTCTTTCACGCTGGGTATAATGCCATATCAACGGCTATGTGTTTTATGACGCACGAAATCGATGTCAATTCGAATATTCAGAAAAAATTGAGGGAGGAAATCGGTGACGTTCTTAAGCAGACCGACGGCAAACCTATCTACGAAGCTATCAATTGCATGAAGTATTTGGACGCCGTGATAAATGAAGCTCTTAGACTGTATTCAATAGGACCTTTTCTTGACAGAAAATTGTGTTAAGACAACAAAAAAGTCTTAAGGAAACTAAATTACCACCAGCGACTCCGAATGGCGAACCAATCACGGTAAAACCTGGTGATAGTGTATGGTTTCCGAATTATTGTCTTCATCGCGATTCAAAGTACATACTATCCGCATCCAGATACATTCGATCCAGACAGATTCCTTAACGGACATGTAAACAACTCGGTTTATATGCCATTTGGTATCGGACCTAGAATCTGCATAGGTAATAGATTTGCCCTAATGCAAGCAAAAGTCATGTTGTTCTATCTACTTTGGCGTTGCGATCTCGAACCCGACATTAAAACTCGAATTCCTATGGTGTTAAAGAAGGAAATACTTCTTATGATGGCGGATGAAGGTTAAATTTGCGGTTAAAATTAGTGAGGAAAGTAGATTTTTGTTAACACAATGTTTATCGAACAGACATAAAATTAAGGGACAGTAATAATACATATTTACATTCTTTTTAAAGTATAATTATATACTTAAAAAATCCTTTAAATTATTATGACACGAGCTTTCTTCTTAAACATGTACAAATTCACCTTTTGCTCAACTAAATATGTAAAAAATTAAAAATTTTATAAAAGCTGTTAGTTTAAATATGTATAATTACTTTTTATTAAAAAAAGATAAAATAAAAATTTTAAAAAGATAAAATAACAACTTAAAATGTTATTATAACACACAATAATTCTGGTACTCTTAGTGTAACAATTCCTTTTTTATTGATTTTATTTATATAAATAGATAAGTTTTAGAAATAATATATAATAGATGTTGATGTTTTACTTATTTTATATTACTCTTACCGTCTATGTTTTAAGTAATATAATTTTATATTAAATGTTTAAGCTAGTAACACTTGTTTAAAGCATATTTAAAGTATAATGCAATACAAAATGATATTGTGTGCAATACAAGTAAATTGATGTTAAATATTTCAGTTCAGTAAATTTTTTAAACGGTGTATAAAAAAGTAATAGATATAAGCAGTTTCTAATTATTGTTAATTTACAAATTATTGTTTCTTTACAAATAGTTATATGTAAAGGATTCGAACAATTTTAACATTCTTTTTTAATTAAATTTAATTTTTACAATAAATATAAAGTTGATATCACAATAAAAAGTTTATTTAAAATGAAAAATTTTTACTTTTAATGGCATAATCCAAAATGAGATTTTAAATCGTTATATAAATAAAATTGCATAATAATACTTAAACAATCTGAAACCTTAGTCTTAAATAGGGGAAACCAATGCTCAGCACATTTTTCACTCTTTCGGCACTAGCTTTCTAAACAATTAATTATGATTAAAATATATTAATATGATAAAAGAATCCTTTTTCTACATTGTATTTTCATATCAGAAATGGTGACATCTGTACATTATATAGTTTCTTTGCAGTAAGTAAAATAGAATATGCTGTACTGTATAATCATCTTACTCTTATATTGAAATAACTTGATGTAGATCACGGTATAAGTTCGCTGTACAACAAACTTTAAATATATTAAGTTAATAAAAACTTTTCCATCCCTATATATGTACGTGTATAAGCATTCCATCCCTATATATAATATATACGTGTAATTTTAATCATTTTACTATAATAAATTACTATTATTTCTCAACGTAATATATGTATAGGTAAAAGTTATATACAGTAATATAAATATTTCTCTAACTAATAATATATCCCTTACATTTATTATACTTCCTCAAGATAAAGAATATTATTACGAAATTATGAGCTAAAAAAATTATGTTTCCTCTTGAATCAAATTTTTCTCTTCTTCTTATTGTAATATTTACTTGATTTTTATCATAAACTTGATTAAAATAAAACTTAGGAAAAAGAACCTACATTATAAAAGAGATACTTTGCAGTAACTTTTTCATTGTTTTCTTTGCCATAAATATATAAACGAAACGCAATGCCACTTGCTTGTTGTGCCAACAAACATCGGTCTCCTTTATAAAGAATACTGACATATTTGCACATATATTCTTTGGTCATTTTCTTTATTATAAAGTATCCTCATTTTAACATATTTTCTTGAAATAAAAAAAACAAAGACGAATTAACAAAATTGTTATAAGACTAAACATTATTTTTGACTAAAACTAATTTTCAATTTATTTTTCGTTAGCTGTAGAACGTTTATGTCAATTTGTGAGGGTACAATACATTTATGGTCAAGTGTATATTGAAAACAATAAATACAAATTCATATAAAAATAGAATTGTTTAAGTATAAAAGAAAAACATTTTTATAATATTACGAACTGTTAAAAGAACAAATTGCTCTATTTTGGTTTTAGATACATTTGGTATATTAATTTCAAAATCTTGTGTCAATATTATTACAGAAAACGTGTGGTTAAAAATAAAAAAATATATTTATGATTTCTGATAAAAGTAACAGTTACAAATTTAATTATTTATGCATTACTTCTTCTATATTAGTCACGATAAGCTAAAAAATACACCAAATGTAAGATTATATAAAGAACAAAAGAGTAAAAAAAAATAAACATAAATTTCTATTATATTTTTATCATTTATGTATCCAATTGGACAAAGGCATAATAAATATTGTAAATTATAAAATAATACAGATTTAAAAAGGCTAATTTGAAGTTAGCGCGGTAAGAAGTGCGCAATTTATACTTATATAATCATTAGTATATAATGTGTATTAAAAGATATTAGTTTGAATGTTTCGGTTATTGGTTTTAGCCATTTTCAGCAAATACGTAATTGATATATTAATAGCAGAGAATATATTCTTATCTTTGAAAACATAGGATGTTATCAACCTTTTATCTAATCGGAAAGTGAGAAAAGCACAAACATCGCACAAAGAAGTTGCCTGTCTTCTTGATTAACAAGTAATTGCATTATCAATCTTTATACAATATAACACTGCAATTAACTATAATACAATATTGAGTAAATAAAAAAGATTTGTATAAAATACAATATGTTGTGATGAAACTTAGAAATCGTCAAAATGTATCGAATATTCTTAATTCTGTTTTACGTCTAAAAATGTAATAAATTATAAATTATTTAACGATATTATATCTATTACTTCATTAAAAATGTATCGAATATTCTTAATTCTGTTTTACGTCTAAAAATGTAATAAATTATAAATTATTTGACGATATTATATCTATTACTTCATTAAAAAACGTTGAACAATAATATTGTGTGTGCTAAAATAAAACACTCTGTAATTGATTTTTTTCTCTAATCCAATTCATTTAATAAAAATGATAGCTATCGTATATTAATACTGCGTTTCTCTTAGGGTCGAGACACTACGGTCTCCAGATGAATATATTTGTGAAGAATGACAAAAAATATTATTATCTCAAAGAGATACTCAAGCAGAACAGCAAGTCATTATGTTAAAATGATATCAAAGTGGCAGAATAATCATTAAAATTTATTTTTCAATCATTTCCGATTCATTTTAATGTTATTTTGACGTTATCGTGACTTGTTGTTCTGCTTGAGTAGGAAAGATGACTTTGCAACTTCATATACTTCATATTTACGCAACTTGCGATATTATTAAGTTTTAACGTGCAGCAGTTAGTAACAGAATCTCGCTCGTTGTGCGTGCATCTCATCACCAGTCAATTCGAAAATTCTTATCGTGATGGAGCCTTTTACTTTACTTCTGTTTATTCTAACAGCGAGTATCTGCTTGTATTATGTCCTAAATAAGTTATTTTTTAAATTATCTTACTTTGAGCAACTAAAAATTCCTCATGTGCGACCAATTCCAATATTGGGAAACATGGCGCCTTTTGCTTTTCGACGTATGGGCCATGTGGAGCTTCAACAAAAAATGTATAACCAATTTTCGAACGCAAAGTTCTTCGGCTTTTACGATTTTATAATGCCAATCTTTGTTATTCGTGACCCAGATTTGATTTCCACAATTGCTATAAAACAGTTTGATAACTTCTGCGATCACCATGGTTTCGTCAATGAAGCTCTCGATCCGATAGCCGGCAGAAATCTGTTTAACCTGAAAGGGGATCACTGGCGCGAAATGCGGAAACTTCTTAGTCCCAGTTTTACATCCAGCAAGATGAAGATGATGTTTGGACTTATTTGCCAGTGTGCAGAGAACTTCTCCAATTTTGTAGCAATGCAGACCGAAGAAGCTGCCAAAACGTATAATATGAAGGATTTACTTTCTAGATACACCAACGATACAGTGGCCACGTGTGCCTTCGGTATTGAAGTGGATTCTTTTAAAAATCCGAACAACGAATTTTTTTTACTTGCCAGGAAGGCATTAAATTTAGAAGGCTTAGCTTTTAAGTTTGTAATGCATAGAAACTTCCCGCAACTTGCGAAACTCATCAAGCTGAGAATGTTTGGTCCAGAAGTAGAGAATTTTTTCAAAGATATTGTTGCCACCACAGTAAAGACCAGAGATGAGCAAGGAATTGTTCGCCCGGACATGATTCAATTAATGATGGAGACTAGGAAGAAGGACACCGGCCCTGAGTATGATATTAACGAAATGACGGCCCAAGCGTTCGTTTTCTTTCTCGCCGGATTCGACACCATATCAACAGCTATGTGTTTCACAACATACGAAATCGGTATCAATCCTGATGTTCAGAAAAAATTAAGAGAGGAAGTCGACGATGTTCTTAGTCAGACCAACGACAAACCTACCTATGAGGCTATTAATAGTATGAAGTATTTGGACGCCGTGATAAGTGAAGCTCTCAGATTGTATCCAATAGCATCTTTTCTTGACAGAAAATGCGTTAAAGAAACCAAATTACCACCAGCGACTCCGGATGGTGAACCGATCACGATAAAGCCTGGAGATAGCATATGGATTCCGAATTTCAGTCTGCATCGCGATCCAAAATATTATCCGCATCCAGATAAGTTTGATCCAGACAGATTTCTTAATGGTGATGTAGACAACTCAGTCTATATGCCATTTGGTATCGGACCCAGAATCTGCATAGGTAACAGGTTTGCTCTAATGCAAGCAAAAGTTATGTTGTTCTATCTACTTTGGCGTTGCGATCTCGAACCCGACATTAAAACTCGAATTCCTATGGTATTTAGCAAGAAAATGTTTCTCATGACGGCGGACGGAGGTTTTTGGTTGAAATTGCGAACAAGAAAATCGAAGACTCTTGTTACATAATGCTTATTGAACGGATATAAAGTTGAGGAACAGTGAATCATACATTTTTTGTTTTAAGCATAATATTATTGGGTACATGCATAAGTTCCGCAATCTTTTTAATAATGTATTTATTAATATAAACAAATATTTCAATCAAAATATATTCTTTTTGAATCTATCACTTTTTGTAATCTTCCAGGCAGCTTACAAATACTGCGGCAAAATAATATTGCTTGCTCTAAAAGGCGATTTATTGTTCACTTCGAAATCACTATATTTAAATTTTTTTAATCAATTTCGACATACACGCGCGTTCTTGATAACACAATATTATTTCTGTAAATCTTATTAATTTTTCTTGTTGTTTGAATAATGGTTGTACCGCAATAAAAATAGTGAAGAGTGTAATCGTGAATATGTACAATATTTTTTCAGCGTTCACTTCCAATTCAACTAAAAATGTAGTTAATTTAATTGCAAATTGTTATACAGCTTTCGAAATACTGGTTGAGCTATTTTAATGGAAAAATATTTGGACGCCAAAATTTAAATACACTTTTATTAGCATATCTAAAGTTGATCGCGCAAGAAATTATTTATACATCTAATATTGTATGTAGGATTTAAAATTAACCATTTAAATTATAGCGACAGATTTCTTTAAATAAATATGTAAGTAATTAAAAGTTTTAGAGAAGTTTTTATTTTTTTAAATATGCATTGTTATTTTTTCTTAAAGCAAAGTAAAATTTCAACATTTAAAATTTTAATAAAATACAGTAATTATAGTATCAGTAATATATACAACTCCTTTTTTATTATGTTTATGTATAAGTTAGATAAGTTTATATGTATAAGTTAGATAAGCTTTGCAAATAATAATGAATATTGATTTTGTATTATTCCATATTATTAATGCAATCTACTTTTTAAGAAACATAACTTTATATTAAATTTTTAAGTTAATAACATCTTATGAACATAAAGAAAATTTAAAATACAATATGATAGAAAATTTTGCGCTTTTGAGTAATACAGAAAATCAAATATTTTAAATATTTTAATCTGATTAATTTTTTAAAGAATTTTGAAAACTAAATATAAAAAAATGTGAGCATTTTATTATTATTCGATTATTATATCACTTTAGAATTAATTATTATATATATGAAGTATTTGAGAGAGAGAAAGAGAAAAAAAAAACTTTTAAAATTAAATTAAATTTTTAATCTAAATACGAAAATTGATAATTATAAAAAAATTTATTTTAAATATACAGAATATAAATTTCAAAGAAATATATCATAGTTTCGCATTATAATTCAAAATATGATTTTAAATCGTTCTGTCAATAAAACTAATGATAATATTATTTTGACAATTTATAAGAGGAATAATTGAGGTTAAAGTAAATTGAAAATTTTGTAGAAGAAAAAAAATTACTTTTCAAAATTATATTTTTGAATATTTTATCAAGTATTTTAAATTATTAATTTGACAGAATAATGAATTTAACGTCTTCTTTGAATACGAAACATACCTTGTACAATTGCATAAATAAAAGTCTTTTAATTAAAAATTGTATAATTAAAAATATTATAAATGATAAATTATACAATTCTACTCAATTTTATTTTTTAATCACGTAAAGAAGAATGAAAAGTTGGACAATACACACATTTTTCTAATGTACTTATATAATGCGTAAAATATATTTTTATCTTTTTAAATACAATAAATAATTAAAAAAACATATTAATTGTTTAGGAAAGGAAAAGAGAGAAAGAGAGGGAAAAAAATTGAAATAAAATTGTATTATAATCTAGCTTATACGTACAGTAGTTTAATTAATATATGTATGTATGATGCTTTTAAATAACTTATAATGTATTTTGTCTAGAATAATGAAATATCTTATCATTATATGTATATTAAAAATAGTAAATTGAAATACAGCAATAAATCGTTAATTTAGTTTTAGAAATTTTTTTGTCTAGCCTGATAAAATAAACCTCTGCAAATAGACAAACTCTCGAAAGTACGAATAAAGTATTTCCAATTTTTTAGTTAAAAAGTTGCTTAACTTCTTGCAATTAAATATAAAAAGTGACTCTGTATCTGTAATGTAATGTATTAATTGAGTAAGTACTTATTTATTGTTTCGATATTTACACTTTTATTTATACTTATTGACCATGATAATGAATATATACTTTTATTTTTAATTATATGATAAATTATGCATTACTTATTGTTATTACATTGACTGGTTACGACATAATTTTTTCTTACGTTCGGACTTCATTCTTTGTGCGTTTATTATTCAGCGATGTGTATTACATAGAGATTTATCGAGAAACTTCTTTTCCGTGGTTTTTCAACCGCTTGTGAATGATGCACTTATAATTAATTTTTAATTTAATCTTAACACGAATGATAAATTATATGTGTCAATAATTGTTGATATCCAGTAATAATTATTATATAGATTACATGTTAGAATGATAAGCTATCGTTTATTGATGAATGGAAATATTTTCTAAGCTTCTAAATAAAAGATTTAAAAAATAATACTAATAAAATCAGTAGTAACACACAATACAATAGATTTATTTAGAGAAGTTATTTATAGAGAAGAAACAATCTTTTGTATTTTTGTGTGTGTGTTGCATAACTGATATTAGATTATTAATTAATTATCAATCAGATATAAAAATTACTTGTGAATTCTGAAATTAAAAATAGAATTTTCATGATTCTAAATAAAAAGATAAAATAAAATTTTTTGTAGCAAAAAAAGATTTTTGAATAAATTAACGAACAGAGAAATCTATGATCATTATTGCGCGCGAATGCTCATCAAATAGATATGAAGCTGAAAATGAAGATAAATTATATTCATAATTTACTCGTATAAGACACTTCAAGTACAAGACCATATATAAAATTAATCCTGTGAATTATTATTTTAGTCACATTTAATATTATAGTTTTTATTTTTTTCATTTAAGACAGAATAATTGAGAAAGAAAGAGCGAAAGAGAGAAAGAGAGAGAGAGAGAGAGAGAGAGAGAGAGAGAGAGAGAGAGAGAGAGACAGCGTACATGTGTGAAAAAATAGAAAATACAAAAAAATTATTTTACATTTGCCGTCATCACAAAATAATTACTATAAATAATTAATAATAAAAAAATATTGAATACATATAGTTGTGAATTAGAGATCGTTTGGCGTTGTATCGGACACTTATTTGTCAATTGAGGATAAATTAAAATTTCTCGATGTTTCCGCGAATATTAAAAATATTTATTTTTTATCTTTATAAACGTTCAACATTTTATCACATATTGCAATATCTTTTTTCTATTAAACTTATTAAAAGTTTTGTCTTTATATTTTCTATTGCGTAATAGCATATACATATAAGCATAAAATTGTACATTTGCAGATTAGCTAATTGTGAGATGTTTTATCAAACAGCTGACTAGAACGCTTTATAGTAGAAATGTTAGATCGGTAGGATAACCATATCATCTGTGAATTGCGGTCCGATTTATACTCATAACATTCATGGAATAATTTCGTTCTGTTTATCAAAGTTAAACAGGGACAAATGATGCTCGTGACCGTGTGAGTATGAATCGAACTGCGGTCCTAAACGCGCCTACAGTAACATATATGCATCACTGACGATCGATTTGGTTGTTTTACCACATATATAGTTTGCACACTAAAAAAATATTTTAAGTTTTAATAAATCATTTATTTGAATAGTACCGATTAAATATAATATTTACTAAATATGAAAATATATTTATTTAGTATAAGAACTGTTAATTTAATTTAACAATCTTTGTTTAATTGAATAAATATTTATTTACTGTAAATAAATTTTTAGTTGGCTCTATTCAAATAAATATTTATTAAAACATATTTTTTCAGTGCAGTGATAAAATGTAATTTTTAACCGATTCAGTAATTTTACCGTATACGATAAAATTACTGAGTTGGTTAAAAATTCGACAATCATATCGTGTGAACACACATATGTAAAATATATTGCACCGTAGAACATGATAAAAAAACCGATTTGACATAAATTTGATAAAATAATAATCAATTCGATAAATGATCGTATCATGTAAATGAGTTCTAAGGGAAGCTATTCTCTTTCTCTTTTTAATATTATCTTTTGTTATGTCTCATTTTATATTAAATAAATAATTATGTATAATACATATATTTATTCATCATTTCTCATAGAAATGCTTTGTAGAGAGATTTAAAAACTCCAGTAAAACGGCGGTAATCAATTCCATTCTGATACATTTCATGCTCATACAAAATGCATAACCTAAGAGAAGATATTATTCGATACAGTGTCCATTTATTTCTACAAACAGGAATGCATTTCATGTGTTACAAATGTATTTTATGCATATTAATGTATAATACCCGATAAATTATCACATCAATATTCGATAAACTATCGCACCTTTTATCACCTCAGTTACAATAGCGAATTTAAATAGCCTCGTAAATTTAAATAATTTAATTGGAAATATTAAAATTTAAATTAAAAAGCAAATTAAAATATAAACGTTAAGTATGGATAATTTATAATGTTATGAGTAAATAATATATGTAAAATTCATATATAAATTAATGTATTTTTCATATTGATATGCAAAATGTGTATGTGTCTATATTTAATAATACACGTTGTTAAATTTACCATAAACAAGAAAAAATCGAATAGCAAACAATTTGTTTTCTTATTAATTAAAAATTAAATGTAAGCTTCTGTTCAAAAAACTTTAATGCTATTTTTTAAATGTTATTTTTTACATTTTCTATTTTTAAAATACTAAATATTTGATGATAAGTTTCAAAGTATGATTCTTTAAAAATAAAATTTAAACAAATTAAAAAAAATTGTAGCTTACAATTAGACTTTAAATTAATACAATTAACATAATAAATACTATATAATAATTTAAATACAATTGATAAAATAATGTAAAAAATATAAAATTACGTTTCGGCTTACAAAGCCTTCTTCAGTGTATAAAGCAAAAATACATTATTAAATTAATGAACAATTAGATAGCGCAAAAAGTAAGATAGCAAATTAGATAGCAAAAGTAAAATTTACTTTGATGAAGTTTTGTCCATACACACAATATTATTATAAAGTTAAATTAATTTCTTTAATCTTGTGTCCATGTTATTATTATTATTCTTACAAATAATTCTAGTTTATACAGGTACAAACAGGTACAAGGTAAATAATATATAATACGAAAAAATATTTTAAGATTACTTATTTGCATGGTGCTTAAATTTTACAAATTTTTTTATCTAGAAATATTATATAA